CTTTTGTTGTATATCTTGTGGCAAAGTGAATGATCTGCTCGGGTAAACTTTCCTACCTATTAACTATTTTTTATATCATTTTTCTTTCATAATTTTTAGATTTTTATAGACAAATGTTTATAGTTGTGATGAATTTCACATTTCTATTTAAAGTTTATCCTAAGTCCTCCACTAAGGAAATAAAAATTTTGCAACATGTTAAGTTATTGGTGGGGAATTTTAATTCATTGCGGTATCTTAGAAATACTGGTTAGTTATATTGTACATTGGCCTTATTTTTGCTATAGTGGTTCTACGAGTGTAACATAATTTACACGACCATTCACACTTGGAAGGAAATATTTTGTTTATTATTGTGTAATATGAGCGATATCACCATCTTGTATTAATTTATAGAATATTGCTCTAAGAACTTCCTCCCTTCTTTAAAAACTGATGTAGGATTTTAAGCATGTCCTTTAACAATTTATGAGTTTTTTACAATTGTTTACAGTGCAGCATTGAGTTTATCTGATATGACCATTTATTATTTTGAGTTATTCTTGCTTTTAAGGGGGCGCATGAACTCTTTTAAAAGTGGGCTTTTTTTCATCTCATCTAATGCTTTGGCAGATAGATCTAATAAAAATCAGTCTCCCTCTTTTTGGTCCTTCCATTGCAAAGAATCACCTAAACAACAAATGGTGGGATGGATTTTCCTGGGGTGCTTTTGCCTTTCCTCCAAAGCTCTACTAAACTTTCTTCAGAGTATATGAAGCGTGCTAAATATCGTAGTATATCAATGTGTTGAAAATCATAATCCTAACGCCTTATACAGAAGCTTTCTGCATGCCCTCAGTTTAATGTCAAGGATTAACCATTTCTGGTGAAACTTGTAAATTGTTGTGAAACTTTCCTTACACCTACGAATCATCGAGTTGACGAGTTCTGTTGACTTGTCTTTAGATTCTATGAACACAGATTTGGAGTGGGTAGTGTGGTGGCAGTACCCTGTTTGTTGGGTCAATAACCTTCAGTTGAAACTGCTACAGTTCTGGTTTCATGACATGGTAACTTGCAGACCTTGATTGTATTATAAAAAAAGAGAATGTTTAGTGCTTTTGAAAATGTGGTTTGGAGATCTTTGCAGCTAAAGCCACGTGGTAGATGCAAATACATATATATCGAAGGGCAAGCATGTAAATGTATAATTCACACGAACATGCAGGTGTTTGTGTGTTGTTTCAATTGCCTGAAAGCTAGGAGTTCTGTCTAGTGCTTTTGAAAATGTGGTTTTGGAGATCTTTGCTGCTAAAGTCACATGGTAGATACATATACATATACATACATATACATATACATACATATACATATACATATACATATACATATACATATACATATACATACATACACACACACACACACACACACACACACACATATATATATATATATATATTGAAAGGCAAGCATGTAAATGTATGTATGGTAAAAATGGGTGTGTGGATGGCACCGCCCTATTTCTATTGCCTGAAGGTTCGGAGTTCTGTCCTCATCGGTTTTGTGTAGAGTTGATACTGTTTCTATTTGTCAAAAACTTGCTCTCTCTCTCTCTCTCTCTCTCTCTCTCTCTCTCTCTCTCTCTCTCTCTCTCTCACTCTTCGTGGTAAATAAAGTGAGTTAGATTGTGATTGTTTGTTGACAAGTGACGCAATTGAAGACATCATGAATGGTTCACTAATACATTTCTTTCATGTTTTTAATGCAATTAAATGGTTCTTAGTTCTTTTCTGAGTGAACGTTTATGATGAAATACTTCAAGCACATAATTAATACTAATTTTTTGTACTGGTTACCTTAGATGTTACTTTTTCCTCATATACAGCAATCTGATTGGCCTATGTTCTTACATGTATTTAGATCCTGGCGGAAACAGCTAGTAATAGCAAAGGATACCAGACGGGTAGACATACTGTGCTATCGTATTTCCTTGAGTCATAAGCTTCTCAAGGGGACTGCAAAGTATCAAAAGCTTCATGAGATTGTGGATGAGGCTATGAAGAAGCTGCAAGATGAAGTGGGTCTGCTAACTGGCTTACCATTAAAGATGGGTCGGGGTATTGTTAACAGGCTTTCTTCTGGACCAGAGATTCAGAAACTTTGTGCATTTGCTGTGGAGTCAATGGATTCGGTGCTTCAGAAAGCAACATTGCCTCCATTGGCCAAGCCTAATGTACAAGGTAATCTATTTACCAGTAACTGTCACACCCTAACCACAATCACTGGCTTTACATGCACACGAAAACTCTGTAAATAGCTGCAATTTTCGCGCCATAACCACAATCATTGAATTTACTTGCATTCGACAAATTTTCTAATGATAATGTATATACAGTGATGTAGTTGCGATAATCTCTTCATTCATTTGATTCTGAGTTTCTGGTTTTTTTTCTTTCCTCACCACTTCCTAATCGAATCACAGAATAACATTGAGGTTATTGGAGAATGGAGATAATGCATTTTTTCTAGTATTTGGCTTATTCAGAGAGTGCAATAAGGAATTTAATGGATGTTTTCTGCTGTACATCTTTTAAACATTTCAGATCCAAGTTTTATTGCTCCAGACATGGTTAGATTTGAGGATGTCCATGCTACATCGCTCACTGTGGTTTTGAGTTCTGAATATCCTCCCTCAGAAATTTTAGTTGGTTACAAATTATGGCACCGGAAGGCTGATGATATGAATTATCCAACAGAACCAACTGCTACACTGTTGTTTGCACCAAAGACGAGATTTGTTGTCACTGGACTAACTCCAGCTACAGAGTACTGTTTCAAAGTGACTTCATTCAATGATTCAAGACATTTGGGCATGTGTGAAGTATGGTCCTCCACAAGTACTGCTGGAGATGAAGTCCCTAATTGTTCAGTAACACAGAGAAGTCAAAGCCCAGTTACCAACTATAGTAGCCTTTCTAATCCTTCTTCAGTGGAAGATGAAACTAATAATATTACCGCTTATGGTGATCAAGCTGATAACCGAGCAGACAATTATATTACTTTCTGCAAGGACACTGATAATACCGTCTTTGCTGATTTATCAAATGATGTTGTCAATGCCAACAGCATGGATAGAGGACCTGCAGCAGATGTTATTTCGATGCTGGATGAGGAACACACCAATGGGATGGTTGGCTCCATATCTAAATCCGATGTCATTGAACTCGAGCGCAAGCAATCACCAGATTGCCAAATCGTTGAAGACATAAGCACTGATAACGGGTCAAATTCCCCTGCTCGAACTGGAATGGAATGTGTCCCATTTGTTGGTAGCTCAGAGGCTGGCTTACCCATCACTCCTTGCAAAATCGACTTACTTAAAGATGGGCTAGGAAGGAATGTAAGATCAAATTCCAGTAGCAAGGATTTAAAAAATGGTACTGGGAAAGGAGAGGAACCCCAAGATGGCAGCACATCAAAAAAGAGAAGTGCGGAAAGGAAAGGCGAGGAGTGTGTGACAAACAATGATTCAGATAGGGATTTTGAGTATTACGTGAAGATTATCAGATGGTTAGAGTGCGAGGGGCATATCGAGCAGAACTTCCGGCAGAAATTCCTGACCTGGTACAGCTTGAGAGCTACCCCTCAGGAGGTAAGGATTGTGAAAGTGTTTGTAGATACCTTTATCGAAGATCCTGCATCGCTTGCAGGGCAACTTGTTGACACCTTCTCAGAAAGTATTTCAAGCAAGAAATCGTGTGTTGTGCCAAACGGGTTCTGCATGAAGCTTTGGCACTAAGTTTCTTAAGAGTTGGGAACTCAAGGGTATCTGCAAGCAGTAATGCTTGTGGATCTCCTCTGCCCCTATCATTTGTTATTTATGTCGTATCACAATTCTAGTACCATTTTATGATGTAAAATTTGAAAATTCATCAATTCTAGATCAATGTGAACGTGTTTTTTCGGTGATGGTCATATTGTCAAGTGTTGTTACTAACTTATGCGATATTTGAGTGACAGTTTTTTTTCTATTATTTTAGGGTCTCCTCGGAGAAAAGCTTTAGTCAGATTTCCTAACCATGCCCCATATCCACTTGAAGCCCAGTGACATGGTACTCAAATGTCCTTGGCTTGTGTAGGTTTACGAATTTCTCATGCTTAAGTTAGAATTTTAACCTAAATTAAGATTTTTTGGGACTTGCTTGTGTACTTTTTTGGGGTCTGTATAGTAGTGAAAGCTCATTTCCGTAGTTCGACATCTCACGTTCTTCGGGTAACCGTGCATGTTGTGTGACATGCATATAGGCACGTTATTTATTATTGACATTTCATTCATATTATTATTACTTCGGTTACATAGTTATTTCATATTTTTTTTCAGCAAAAATTTACGTGGCAAATAAATGAGGATGTGGTATCATCTTATTAAATGACTTAATGAACAAGTGATCAGCCCCAATTTTTCTTGTCTCTTAGACCACGAGAATAACTTGCAAATAAAGACAGCGTGATGATCGTATTCTAAACTCATTATACAATGCTATACAAAAAAAAAGTTAAAATATAATCGTGAAATTGTAATAGATTTGAGATGACACTACCACAATGAATCTGTCTTTTGCAAGTCTCTCACACTTTTCGAATACATTACTAGATTTTCTCCAAGAAAAATACAAATATATAAATTTCGAACTCGCCATTGACAAAAACTATTAGCAACAATTAAAAAACGGAGTTCAATTATGTTGTGCGGAAACTGCCAGTGTGAAACCTTTTTTTTAGGAACATGATTGTATCCAAATCCTCTTTGTGATAATCTCACAGATCACTTCATCAGTCATCTTGTGGTCATAAATTATTTAAAATTTTTTTTTATTTAAAATTGAATACAAACATTACATAGCAAAAACTAACCGCGTAATATTCAATAAATGGTTAAGATGAATGAGAGATATGGAAAGGATCATTATCCAATTTTTTACACCTGTTCCTTCTCTTGACAGTGTCAGGTTTATATGAAGTTTTATAATAAAAATACACAAAAACCCATCAACCACCACGCCTCTGCACCCACCCAACCCAGTGAGCCGCCCACCACCCAGTGGCCGGCAAACCCTCCCTCCTCGACTCCGGCAAAAGCTCATCCTTTGAACCTTCTGCCTCTTCCTCTCACCTTTTCTTATCTACCCAGCGAAAGCAAACCCAACACAAACCCACAACATCTCCATGGCAAAGCTGAGAAAACCGAATTGATTTGTGCCGCCGCCGCCACCGCCGCCTTCAGAGACGACTATCGCTCGCCAACAGAAGCTCAGATTCCCTAATTCCTGTGGTATCAATCAGGTATGGGTTTTGAAGAAATTTCGTTTTACTCAAAAATAGACACACAATAGGACCTTTTTTATATTTATTTTTGTTGAGTGGGTTTTTGAGGAATTTTACTGAGTATCAGACCCGAAAGAAAAGTCGTAATTTTGATGAAAACATTTGATTCCGATCGGGTTAGAGATATCTGGTTATTTGTTAGGTTTTTTGTTCAATCGGGTTTACAAGAACTGACTGAAAAGAAGGAACTGATTATGGCTTTCATAGGACTTTCTCATTCACTTGAAACCCCAGTAAGTATATGTTCTAATACTTTTCGTTCAGTTTGTTTAAATGCTTCTGGGTTTAGGGGCGAGTATTGTTATTGGCACACCAATAACATAATCATTCGCTACTCCATGTATAAATTCTCCCCTATAAAAAAGTACGAGGAGTGAGGAATGACATTTTTGAAGCACCAACAAGGTTCTAAAAGACGTTATGCGCCAGTCGGGCGGCGGGCTAGGGCCTAACGTCTAGGCGGCTAGGCGGATTTAAGTAAATATATTATCTTTCGTATAAATAAGTATCTACTTATACTTAAAATACATGTAATTTCATCATAAACTACAAAATAAAATGACATATATATTATGAAGTATTTAAACATAATGAAAACATGGGGAATGAGGATATAATGTGTGTTCATTTAAGCATGCAACAAGCCTCTTACAATTTTTTGAAAAAGATAAAATGCAAAATGAAAGTTATCTATTTTCTATCTAAGTGAGTTGCGACCTAGGCAGGTGTCTAGGCTGGTCTGGGCGGGCTGGACAGGCTAAGCGGGTGACTAGATGGTCTAGGTGGGCTCCTCAATAGGTCTAGACATCCTTTCTTAATTTTCAAATGCCTAGGCATTAATCGGGGTGGTGGCCAGCCGCTAGCCGCCTAGCGCCTAGGCGGGGATTTTTAGAACAGGAAGCACCAATAACAGCTCCATATAGGGTTTAACATAACAAGACAAATAATGTTAAAAGAATGGGAAGGAAACATAGTGTTGGTGAATGGTGAGGTATGAGGATCAGAAGATGGTATGATGTTTATGATGTTTATGATGTTTATGATGTTTAAGGTTTAGAGAAAAAGATAAGATTAAGAAGGAAAAATAGAGTTGGCGAGGATCAAAAGATTTTATGGTCACTTATCAAACATCAGATTAATTTTTGCAATGGAAATGTAATATTCAATACTTTTTTGTGGTAAATGGCAGGCCGAAGCCAAACAAAAACAACAAAAACTAACACACTACATCCCAAACATGAGCTTTTCCCCTCTTGTCATCATCCAAAATACAAGAAGGATCAACTCTGTGCTTCCTCTTAAACTTTGAACATTAATATTCAATATTTTTAAGTGTTGTATAACAGATGAAACATACTTACATTCACTAAAACTAGTAGTCAGATAATTATTTATAACAACACATAATACTTTGGCCACAATAAGGGGTCAAAATTCTTTCCAACGCCTGGCTTTATTTTTGACACATTAATTACCCCATCCATTCTCTCTCTCGCTCTCTCTTTTTTTTTGTGCCTTTCTTTTGAGCTCAAGATCTATTTATTACTTTGTGGTATACTCAGTATTTGTTTTGTCGACAGTGGCGGATCTTGGATATGATGATGTTTGAGTGTCACACAAATAAGCACTTTCCCACAAAGTCTGATAAATAAAAAAGGGGCTTAAAATGGGAGCTGCTGCTTTGTCAGCTTCAAAGTGTGCTCCAGATGGGCAGCAAAGTCGTTTTAAAACCAGTAACTTGTCCTCCATATCTTCTCCTACTACAAAGATGTTCAAGCTTGGACGAACTTAAGAAAATCCATGCCCATGCAGTCACTACTGGTCTTGCTCGTTTTGCCTACACTGCCAGCAAGCTCTTAGCCTTCTCTGCATTATCAGAACATGGTAATATGCACTATGCCGAGACACTGTTACACCAAATTCCAAGACCCAATGTATTTGATTACAATTCCATGATAATGGGTTTCTTGAAGAGCTCAGAATCTGAAAAGGGTCTCTCCATTTACACCAGAATGAGAAGGATAGGCACAGAGCCAAACGCTCGTACTTTCACCTTTGTAGTTAAAGCATGTCTTGAGGTATCTTTGCTTGGTCAGGTACATGGTCAAATAACGAAGTTTGGGCATGGGTGTGATGTTTATGTTATTAGCTCACTTATTAGGGCCTCATGTCGATGTGAAGCTGTGGAATTTGCTCGTAGAGTGTTTGAGGAAAGTTTGGATAAGAATGTGGTTTGTTGGACTAGTCTTATTAGTGGATATTGTAGTAATGGGCTGGTTCATGAAGCTCGTGATCTGTTTGATGCAATGCCGGATATAAATGATGTTTCTTATAGTGCAATGGTTTCTGGGTATGTTGGGAATGCTTGTTTCAATGAAGCAATTGATTTGTTTCGTCAATTGAAAAGCCATACACAAGTGAGGCTCAATGAGTCTCTTTTGGTTAGCACTCTTAATGCTTGTGCGTCAGTGGGTGCCTTTGAAGAAGGGAAGTGGATTCATTCGTTTTTGGAAGAAAATGGTTTTGAGTATGGACTTGAGCTTGGTACTGCACTAGTAGATTTTTATGCAAAATGTGGATGTATTAAAGACGCACAAGACGTGTTTAGCAGGATGCCTCATAAAGATGTAACTACTTGGAGTGCTATGATCATGGGATTTGCCATCAATGGTGAGAATGATATGGGGCTTGAGCTTTTTGCAGAAATGGAAAAGAAAGGACCTAAACCAAATGCAGTGACATTTGTTGGAGTACTCACTGCATGTAATCACAAAATTCTGGTAAATGAAGCATGGCGGTTGATAGGACGCATGAGTAAAGTTTATGGCATTGCTCTGGGGATTGAGCACTATGGCTGCATGGTTGATCTCTTGGCCCGTGCTGGGAAACTGAATGAAGCAGAGATATTGATAAGAAGTATGGCAATGAAAGCGGACGGTGCTATTTGGGGGTCTTTGTTTAATGGATGTCTGATACATGACCATGTTGACTTAGGGGCGAGGGTGGGGAAGCTTTTGATTGAATTAGAGCCTCAACATAGTGGTAGGTATGTTCTTCTGGCCAACATGTATGCCAAAATGGGCAACTGGGAGGATGTGACGAGGCTAAGGAAAATGATGAGAGATAGGGAAGTAGGTACAATTTCAGCTTGGAGCTTCATTGAGACTGATGGTATTGTCCATAAATTCATGGCAGACGATAAGTCTCATTCCCATTCGAGAAAGATAAACACAAGTTTAAACCAACTCAGCAGGGCACTTGAAAGTTTTTCCATTGCTAGTGACGCATCGTTACTTTAAAGAAACCATTATCTTGGAAATGGAAGGACCAATCCGCAGGCAAGTCGATCCTGTCTTTTCAAAGACGCATCTAGCTACAATCTTGACGTTGTATTTAGCTCAGAGACCTGCCTCCTTTGGTGTGTCTCTAAGTTTTTCTTCTTGGAACAATTCAAAGTTACTTAGCGAGGAAATTCAATTTGAAAACATCGTCCGTAATGGTAGATTACGGAATGATATTGTCCATCATATTCTCTATTGGATCACCATGCCTTGGCTGTTTTGTAGATTTCAACTTGCGTTCGCAGCAAACAAGGGTTGTTGAAATTCCTGTGTTCCCATTCACCTATTTTAAAGTTTTCTCCACATCCATTGAATGAAGGGCAGTTGCAGAAACGAGTCATACATCTTCCTAATATTTAATTCCCACGGTTCCTCTGATGCCTGCAAAACTGGCTGTGAGAGACTTTGTCACCATGCCAAGTGGATTTTGATTGGTCGTGAGATGGTGGAAAAAGCAGGATGCTGATGTGGCTTATAAAACTCTAAAACATCTTGTACCCACCGTTTTTTCAATACCACTCTCACTCTCACTCTTTCTCTCTCTCTCTCTCTCTCTCAACAAACCCAGCATCATCAGCCTTGCAAGCCACCAAAACTGCATCTTTTTGTTCTTCTCTCCTACCGTTGGACATCAAGTTCGAAGATGTCTGCTGCGATCTTTATTGCTCCGGTTGGTGCATCCGGTTATGCTGGCTTGAAAGCCAACCCTCGGAAGCTTTTTCCGGTGAATGATTCTATTGGATGGGCCAAGAAAACGGTCTCCAATGGATCAAGAACTCTCTGCATGAAGGTAAGGGAATCTGACAAGTTATATCCCAACTCCCAAGTACCCAAGATTCTCATCCTCGGTTTGGTTCTTAATTTTACAGGTGTGGAATCCAATCAACAACAAGAAGTTTGAGACCCTCTCGTACCTACCACCACTCTCTGATGATTCTATTGCCAAGGAGATTGACTACATGCTCAAGAAGGGATGGATCCCTTGCCTCGAATTCGATGAGGTTAGTTGATTTACTAAGTTTAGATGCTCTTCTTTGTTCTTAACAAACAAATAAATCGGATTTTAACTTCTCTTCTGTGCATTAAACTATGTACTATAACTTGCATCTCTACCTCCATGGCGTATGATTTTAGTACAACTGTTATTTGACAAAATTAAGTAATTGAATAGTTTTATCGGGTTGCTGTGTAATATGAATGACACTAACACCAGATTGGACTATTTAATCCAATCCAGCATCATATCCGACGCGCTAAATATGCGCTGTATTTCGACTAATATGATCAGTCATGTTTGAACTATACATTTGACTAGCAAGGTTAACTTCTCGATGATAATCCTGGGTAGATCGCTAATTAAGCAATAAACTTTTGGGGTTTATCTCATAACGTTAACATTTGATTTTTGCAAATATGGAAGGTTGGGTATGTTTACAGGGAGAATAGCCAGATGCCAGGGTATTATGATGGGAGATACTGGACATTGTGGAAGCTGCCCATGTTTGGTTGTACTGATCCGTCGCTAGTTCTCAATGAAATCCAGCAGTGCAAAACAGAATACCCGAATGCTTATATTCGCTGCATGGCATTCGACAACGTCAACCAGGGTCAGTGCATGGCCTTTATCATTCAGAAGCCAACAGCTACCGCCGCCGCCGCCGCCACCACCACCACCACCGCCGATGCTTAATGGCAAGATTCGTCTATAGAAGTTTGGAGAAAATCGACTTTTCATCTTCACATCGTTGGTGTTTTCCTCTGTAATTTCTGTGGTATGTATGCATAAGGAAGGTTATGGTTTATGCTGCTCCCTGTTTTGGGAAGATAATTAGTAACTGAGTTAAAATAAACACCTTTTCTTATCTGGTTTGTCTGTAATCTACATCAGCAGCCCATGGTTTTGAATGAAGATCCTCTCCGGATCTTGTGAGTTAAAGTAAACAGCCTTTCTTATCTGGTTTGTATGTAATCTACATCAGCAGCCCATGGTTTTGAATGAGGATCCTCTCCGGATCCTGTTTGTGAGTTAAAATAAACAGCCTTTCTTATCTGGTTTGTATGTAATCTACATCGGGAGCCCATGGTTTTGAATGAAGATCCTCTCTGGAACCTCTTTGTGAGGATCTTAAGGATCTTTAAATCATATTCGTTACATCGTATGATTAAAAATCATTTTAAATACTTTTATTTAAAATTAAATATGAATACTACTTGAAGATAATTGACCGCACGATGTACTAAAAATATACATGATTTGAGAATTTTCAAGATCTTTTATTTAAAATTAAATATGAATAGTACGTGAAGATATTTGACCGCATGATGTACGATGAATATACTAAATGTGCGGATTTTCAAGATTTTCACAAAGAGGGTTTGGAGAGGATCCTCATTTCATGGTTTTTAGCTTTTCTTAGTTTTGGTGGGACCAAGGGATTAGAATTCCCACTAATTTGGTTATATTTTCATTTTTTATTTGAATGAACAACTATCATTCATGAGATAATTTATAACATATAAATAAAAACTTCTAAGAAAATCTTCAAAAGGACCATCAAATCCGAAGTAGAGATATGATTGTGCATATTTGATATAAAAAATCCTTCTAGTTGAAGTGTTATTTGCTGACTGGATTTGAAGCCTTTGTGTTTAGGAGTCAAATTTGACATCAATGTTAAATTTATTTTTAATTAGTTTAATGGTGGGTCTCTTATTTCACTAACATTTCAACCAATAAAATTTTGGAAAATTACACAGGGTATACTTTTAATACTTAATGGTATATGGAGACAACACTCTTTTAATATTTCAATGAGAAACAAAAATTAATACATGTAAAATATGACATCATTGACTATTTTTTTTAAGTTACAAAAATACTATGATATCCCGGCCCGGGCCCCCACCACATCCCGGGCTAGACTTTGCCATAGCACGATATTGTCCGCTTTGGGCCCCGACCATGCCTTCACTGTTTTGTTTCTGGGAACTCACACGAGAACTTTCTAGTGGGTCACCCATCTTGGGATTGCTCTTACGCGAACTCGCTTAACTTCGGAGTTCCGATGGAACCCGAAGCTAGTGAGCTCCTAAAAAGCCTTATGTTAGGTAGAGATGAGAATATACATATAAGGCTTACAAGATCCACTTCCCTGGGCGATGTGTGATGTTACAATCCACCCCGGCATACTTTCGGCCATGGATTGGCTCTGATACCAAATTATCACATCCCGGGCTCAACTCCGCCATAGCACGATATTGTCCGCTTTAGGCCCCGACCACGCCCTCACGATTTTGTTTCTGGGAACTCACATGAGAACTTCCTAGTGGGTCACCCATCCTAGGATTGCTCTCACGCGAACTCGCTTAACTTCGGAGTTCCGATGGAAACCGAAGCCAGTGAGCTCACAAAAGGTCTCGTGCTAGGTAGAGATGAGAATATACATATAAGGCTTACATGATCCACTCCCTTGGACGATATGAGATGTTAAAAATACCCTCTATTAACATAGGTGTTAATATCACAATCATTTAGATTCTAACCTACATTTTCTACCCAAACCCAAAAGCCAATAACTCACAAAACAACATAAACATTCATCAAACACCATGCTCACACATCCATACTCCTTTCCATCTGTACATAAACATTCCTCATAGGTGATTGGGCTTATGAGATTTGGGGATTTTTGATTAACTAATGGGTATATAAAAAGGAAGGGTTCTTTTGATTATTTTTTTATAATTTTTTATATGAACAATGTTTAGATAATGCATTCCTGACTGTGCCTCAGCATATAGTAATCAACATTTCAAAGTGTTGCTAAACATTGAAAAACACGACATGTGATTTTCAAAAGCTTATATAAAGTCATCAATAAGAACTTAGCTATTATGTGAATGCCAAGTTAAATTATTCCAGGATTGGGACTGTGTTCAAGAGAGCAATACTCAAACAAAATAAAAAGAAGAGGAAATAATGGAATACAAAGGTATAAGAAGATAAATATGAGTCTGGCCATGCTTGAGTCTCCCTTTGTTTGGCTTGCTGTTGCAACAACTCTTCTCTAACCCTTTTTATCCTCATTTCTCTTCCGAGTCTTTCTTGCTTTTTGTCCTGATATAGCATTAATCATTTGTGCCTTGATGAGCTAATTTGGGCAATTCTAGGTATGACAAAATGATTAATTTTGTTTAATCATTAATCAGAGTGAATTGGCTTAAATTGGGGGTTTTTGAGATTTGGGAGTTTTGATCGATTTGTGAGTGCCGTTTTGGTGGCCAGCTCTTTATTACTCATTTCTTTCTCTTTTCTTGGCCCATGTAGCTGATTGGCATGTTACGATTTTGAATGTTGTTAGTTGTTGGTTGTTAATAGTGATTTTTTATTTTTATTTTTTATTTTCACTATTCAAATCTAGCTTCAAAGTTCAGCCCACCTCAGTTTTGGATTGTGGGTTTATGCTTGGGCTGAGTAGACTTGTAGTTACTTAGAATGAAATGGTCATACAATCTCTGAGCATTCGGCCTATGACTGCACAATTAGTTTGTGAGGATAGTTGAAGTAATCAACTAAATTGAATGTAAGTATATGTATTTACAAATTGGTTGTACTAAAAAGCATAATACCAAAATTGCTTCTGCATATGTTTGAACTGATTCTGCAAAAATGGTCGATGACGGGTTGAACTGAGTCTGCAAAAATGGTCGAGGACGGGTCGAACTAATTCTGCAAAAATGGTTGAAGGCGAGTAAACTGATTCTGCAAAAATAGTCGAGGATGGGTTGAAATGATTATGCAAAAATGGTCCAGGACTGATTAAATTGATGCTGCAATAATGGTCGAGAATGGGTTGAACTGATTCTGCAAAAATGGTCGGAGACGGGTTGAACTGATTATGCAAAAATGGTCGTGGACTAATTGAACTGATTATAGAAGTAAAGGATACAAATTGATTCTACATATAGTTTCAAAACTTATTCTGCAGAAATAGTCGATGATGAGTTGAGTTTATGATACATTGATTTTGTTGGAGTTGTGAGGGTTAAGTTCTCTTAATAGCCCTAGAGCCTTAAAGGTATGGCTGATACTTTAAAACATTGTTTCCATGTTTTGGAGCTGGGCTTTAGTTGTTTTTATATTTTTGTCTCTCATTGGAATGTTTAAAAACTAGTGGAGTTCCTTAAAATATAATGAAAGTTTTTGTCTCTCTATATAAAGCTCCCAAAAATTTTGTTTCAACAATTTTTTTTAATAAATACAACCATTTAAAGCTCTACATAAATTAAAAAAAAATGATAATATTTGACAACTCGGTTAGAGAAACATAAAATTTGACATAAGACTTCGGATTGTCACATCAACCATCAATTGTAATTTGACTCTAATAATTTGACATTTCCATTGGTGATGGTCTAATAATAAGTGATAGATTGCTTTGGTAGAGACGTTTTTATCTTCATCCCACTATGTCTCGAGTCCAAAAGCTCCTTGCTCCCTTTACTATAGATTAGAAATGTATGGGAAAAAATGAAATCAAGATGCCACTATAACATATTTTTCTGCTATGATAGATTGCTTTGGTAGAGATGTTTTTCTCTTCATCCCATTATAGACATGTAAATTTCGTTGCATACAAATGTTGCATCACAAAGCTCTACGTGGCATATGACTCATCACAAATGGACAAGCCATCAATGACATGTGATACAAATCAAGCAAAGGAAGTGTAAAACATTCCTAAAATTCGGCAAAATGGAGAAAATCCACCTTAAAATCGGCAAGGGGCCCAAAATCTCTCAAAACTGGAAGAAAGCCGAATCATCTTAACAAAATAAGCAAGAATTGAATATTGCTCACAAATAGGTAACAAGGCCTATAAATTTCGCCCAATATGAGGAAGGTGGCTGAAATTAAGACACAAAACATGCCTAAATTCTCCCATGGATGAATCAAGACACAAATCAAGGCCAAATCCATCCAAAGGCATGGCTTTGGAAGTCTATAAATACAAGGATCCAAGACACACATTGAGGATTGAAAAATTACACATTGAGAAGAACCTCTAGACAAATCTTTGAAGACTAATTTGCTGCCAAAGCTCTCTTTGAAGAACGTACAACCAAAGCCGAAGCTTTCTGTCGACCAAAGCCGAAGCACTCCTTGAAGAATCAACAAGCACCTATGCCAATTCCTTCAAGACTTAGTTGCAAGCTCAAAACTTGTAACGATGTTTGATTCAAGATCAAGTCGCCAAGACCCTTGAATCAACAAAATCCCACATCAACATCACCTTTGCCTCATGTCATATGCAAACCTAGAGGTGAAGACTATCCAAGCATTGTTTCAAGCTCAAAACTTGAAACAATCGTTCAACCGTTCGTCCAAGATCAAGTCATCACAACCCTTGAATCAACAACCTACGCATCTACATCAAATTTGAAGTTTGAATCAGAGGAAAATTGTAAACAGAGATTGTAACCTAGAAATTCATATCAATACAAATCTACTTTGTACATGTGTTCTCGTTTCATTCAATACAAAATTTTCGTGTTTACAAATTTGGCACGCTTAGTAGGACCTCTCTGCCTCTCATCTCTGTCTTCAAACCCACAAGAAACATACATGGCATCAAGAAAGGATCAAGCTGTTCTTGTAACCAACGCTAAGAACAAGAACATCCCTGTTGCAAGTGATGGCACTTTGGGCGTCATAACCTAAAGCAAGGCAAAAACTTTCTCTACCGTGCCTTCCACCCTTACATCAACTCTGCCGAATGAGCAAGAGCACCCGAGGCACAAGCTCGTGATCACGTTGGCCTCGTTATGGGCGTCGGGGGAAGAAAGCCCAAGGAGGTACTCC